GCAGGCAGGCAGGCAGGCAGGCAGGCAGGCAGGCAGGCAGGCAGGCAGGCAGGCAGGCAGGCAGGCAGGCAGGCGGGTAGGTAGGCAGACGAGGCAGACACACTTGCGGCTTTCGTTTATATGGTAAGCGCTGGAATAGCAGGCACCCGACACGGGCTGGCGACAGTCAGCCCGATATGACTCATATTGGGCTGGCATTGGATGCAGGCGTGACTAAGCACGCCTGCACGCAAGGCGCCTGCAAGCGTACTAGGGTCGCACCCGCTGTGCACCTCCAAGCCCCTCTTGTTGTCCTGGTTCATCTCTCGAAGCCTCTGCGTGAGCTGCCGCACTTTTGCCCGGAGGTCGCACAGTTCTTTGTCCTGTTCCACCAGATACCGCAGGGTGTGTTTCACCAGGGGGCCGCGCACCCGTACGGGCTCGCCGATGCGCACAATGTGCAGGCCGTCTATGGGCGAGACATCCAACCCGCAGCAAGGAGGAAGGTGGCAGCAGGCGGAGCGGGCAGCTGTCAGGTAGGCAAAGTGAATTGCATTGTGCCACTGGCCGTGGCTCTCAAACTCTTGGGGCGATTCGAAAGCAGGAAGCGCGGAGATCGAAAGCAGGTTGTTGGGCTATCACTCAGTGGCAGCAAGCAAAGAAGGTGGAAAGCTGCTGGGACATATCCTGGTGCAGCCAGCAGAGCATGGCTGCACCTATGCCAGGCACGGCAGCTTGGGCTGACTGCCGCACAGCTGTGTGGACCTGTCCGCCTCCGCAGCAGCTTTACAAGGCGCACAGGTCGCTGCTCAACAGCAACTCACCTGCCAGGGAGCGCTCCAGCACGTTGTCAACCGCAATGTTGGACTGAGCAGTCACTAGAATCGTTCCTCGGTGGCCCCATGTGCGGCGGAGGTAGTAGATGAGCCCGCAGATGGTGGTGGTCTTGCCAGTGCCGGGCGGGCCGTGCAGCAGGGTGAGCGGGTTGAGCAGCACCGTCGCCATGGCGACAAGCTGCGAGCTATCGAGGCGCCCAACGCTGCTCCTGCCGCCCAGCATGCCGTCGTGCTCCATTCGTTTCAAGAACTAGTAGCGTTTTGTTGGGGGTGGTAGGTGTGTATATGGGCCACACGAGATTCGTTCTGGCAGCATTTTGCTTCAGGCAAAAAGAGGTTTGCCGGAGTGGGCATGAGGAGTGACAAGACCCTTCTGGCCAAGGCAATGCTATTGATGCAGCCATCCAAGCCTTCCCCGAGACACGCTGGAAACAGTAAACATCACACACACCAGGGTTCAAAACAGCAAAGCCAGCACCAGCTTCGCATATGTACGCCCACACACGCACCTCTGCAGTGCGCGTCGCATCAGGCTCGCCGCCAGGCAGGACCTGGCGGGCCCATCGCAGCGCCGCATCAGGCACCAGCGGGGCTGGCTCGGATACGCTTGGAACACCCTCCAGCCCGGCGAGCAGGCGCTCCATGTTCTGGCCAACTGCGCCCACCAGCCCGCTTGCGATCCCGTTCCCACCGCTGTTGTCATTGTCATTGTCGTCTGTCCCTCCTCGCAGCTGCTGCCCGCTGAGCGTGCCGAGGAGGATCGGCCGCAGTGCGGAGCTCTCAAACGTGCCGCTGTGCAGCTGCCGGCGGCCAAAGCCGACCCTGTCCAAGACGAAGTTCTTGAGTGCCGCAACTCTAGATCTCTCCTCTGTGCTGTGCCACATCGCCAGTAGCGCCAGCAGGGCTCGTTCATAGGTGAGGGTGTTAACTGCAGAGTCCAACCTGCGGCGTGTGGCGCGAGGAGGGGGGTGGGCGGGGCACAAGAAGGCTCGGGGCACGTCAGGGGATGCCCGCAGGCTCACGAGGCCAAGTTTGCAAAGTAGCTACACCAGGCATGGCAGCAGCAAAGATAGCAGCAATTCAATCTAGCTCAACAACGGTTAGCAATTGAGAACTTATAATTCAGACAATATAATTCAATCGCGCGCATGCGGCAACAGCACCTTTGTGCTGTTGTTTTTGAGTAATCAATTATGGAAGTACTGTAACACACATCAACGCGTGCGTGCTACCTCCTCATCTTCACCTCCAGAGCTTCCGCCGGTCATGGCAGATATCATCCGCAAAGCTGACCGCCACCTTGATCCACCCGCAGCCCTTCTCAGTCACCACCCCTGATGTAATCTCGTCCTCGTCAGCATTCAAGGGGTTCACTTTAGTAGGGCAGATGGTCAGAGTGTCGCCAATCCTGTTCACCGGTTTGTGGATTGGGCAGGGGAACGGGCGGGGCTCTGTGCTTGTGCACTCCAGTAGGCAGGCTGACCTGTTTGGCGAATATCTACACAGCATTGCGGGGCGTGTTGCACTAATTTCTGTGGCTTGCGCCGTCCTATATAGCTGCGCCGTCGTGTCAATTCTTGTAGTATCTGTACGCCCAGGTGCTGGTGACATCACCCCAGGCCCAGGATCCCAGCTGCAAACTAGCAGAATCACTCAAGTGCTCAAGTGAGCCTACCCAAAGGCGATCCTGGGCAGCTCCTGTCCCTCTTTGGCGCCGAATTTGACCTGCACGGTGCGCAACACACAGCATCGGAGCTCAGCGCAGCCCGTTGATGGCTACCAACTGGTGCGGAAGCGCGCCGGCATCCACATGCATGCGACCCCCATCATATCAGCAACCCGACGCGTCAGCAGGCTGGGCAGCAGGTAGCACGATAA